AAAAAAAAAAAAAAAAAAAAAAAAAGAGAAATGGTGATGCGAACTAACTCCGGGCTTCAAGGCTTTCTACTTTCTCTACTATCAGCATCTATGTGAACCCTTGAATTTGAAATTCCTCAACTAAAAACAAGTGAGTTAAAAGGGAAATAGAGAAGGAGATGAGTGGGAAGAGTAACAAGAAAGGTACGGGTCTTACAGTTACTCCGCTTAATAACTCATGAAGTATATTGAATTTCATTGATTCAATTGTTAAATTAAAAGTTATTAAATTTTACTAATAATTAATATAGAAAAAATTGATTAGCTATGGAATAAATTATTTGTTAACAGTATAGTTGAAAAATTAATTTTTTTAAATTATTTAACTAGAATCTTATTGAATTTACTATATGATCTTGATATTTTTGTATAACTAATATTTGGTTAAATTGGATATGAAAATATTATTGATATAATTAAATAAGATTTTAAATTAGTATTTTATTAATGGTTGATAATTAGAAAATAAAACAAGAATAAAAACATTTTTTGAATTTTATATCTTAGATTTAAGATAAATAAATATATTAAGTTAATTAATAATTGTTTATGTGACATCCTCTACTCCAACATTAATACACAATAAATGTAAACAAATAGTATGGATGGTTTTGTAACGTAGTAGGTTAGGTGATTCAGTAACCCAAAACGGGCCGTTCCCAAATTGGAACGGACCGTTCCAAATTACTGAATTGATCTATAAAATGTAGTTGAGAACGGGCCATTCTAGAGGGAGAATGGGTCGTTCCAAAAACTGTTCTTTTCTAAAAAAAAATTAAAAATTAAAAAAAAATTAAAATTAAAAAGGATTAATAGTATGGATTTCATAACAACTTTCTGACTGTTTTTATCCATCTCATTAGTTGAATGCCCTCATACTTAGAAAAGTGCAGATATTGTGCAGTATAGTATGTGTTTGAATTGATTCGGGCTCTGCATGCATCCAGAACCTGGAGACCCTATTTAGGGGTAATCGCACAAGCCGGTTTTATAAGGTTGAGTTAGACTTAATCCACTATTCTAACACAAATTTCCTTAAGTTCTTATAAATAGATGTTCTCACTATTTATCTAATTGGTCATTGGCATTTGTTTTTAGCAAATGCTCCATGCATCTTTATTGTATATAGCTTTATTTTTCCTTGTTTCTTATTTGGTTTGTTGTCTAACTCACTAACTAATGTGTTAGTAGAAATTTTAAGAGTCAATGTTTTTACCTTTGTAATTTGTTCAAAATTGATAAATTAGATTAAGAAAGGATTAAGTAATGTTGAATTCTAAAAAATATCATAGATACAACAATTTTATTTATAAAAAAACCAATTGAACCTATTATATAGTTATTTCACAAAAACAAAAATTAGGACATGCTTTTATAATTAATTAAAAGAATATAATCCCTTGATTGTACATTCTTTCTTGCAATGAAAAATAAATGTCATCTTGTTAAAATTTACTCATATTATCATGTCTGTTATGAATAATAATTAGTGGCTTAATTAGTGGGTGCCAATATTCATTATCAATCATTACCATTTATATTTCCGTTATGTATTATTCTCTTTATTGTGTAATTGTTCAGTTACCACATATACTTATAAATAGGTTAGTCCTCCCCCAAAGATAATACACCAGTCAGATTCTTTTCTCCATCTCATACTGTCTTGTTTCTTCTCTCTACTTTTCTTCCTTTTATAACAATGTCATAATTTAATTCACACAAATAAGGATCCAACTATAAAATTATCAATCACCACACAAATAAATTGAACATGGTGTTAACTGTTAAGTTTGTTCAAAACAAATAAATTTTCATATTATATATATCATTAACAAACTAAAGGAATCATATAATGAATACTTTGAACAATTGGTGGTGATGATTTGTATAGGTGTATGCACATGTATATATATGTGTGCAACCCTATTCCTTGTAATGAAAGCTATTGAGCTTGGAGGGAGTCACTGATGGAGCCTGCTTCAGATCCTAATGCAGCAAGGTTAGAGCCAATAGACCTACCACGACGCATTACAGCAGATCGATGGTGTCGACATCTAAAGGAGCCAACATGTGTGGTGGGTGAGCATAGACAATTCAGCCTTCCATTTGAATTTTTTCGAGTTATGCTTTGAGATGTTGGTGACACAAGCATGTGTGAGTTCTTCTTAAGGGTTTCCACATCTATCTCAGGGGAATTACTTAGCTTGATCTTTGGGGGCTTTTGTTCTACCTTTGGCTCCATACTGTTCCTCTCAAAGCTTCTCCTATTAACAAAGTAACGAAGATTTGATCAAGCTAATACAATTCAATGATTTAGAAGCAAGGATTTGAGATAGGCAAGGGAAGTTTGATTTACATGTTAATTATTATGTAACATAAATCAATTAATATACCAAATAAATGTTAGCTAAAACTGTTTTTCTTTATCTCTTTATGTGTTGTATGTTTTTAAGGTTGTGTTCTATTTTCTCACATGTTAAACAAGTAATCATATTTGCATTAAAGAATGTTATAATAACTTGGCATTTTCATGAAAACATGTCTTGTTACTAGGTATACACATTCACAAATACGTTATCTGTTACATTAGCATTTTAGTTATATATGAATTATAACAAATACAAATTATAAAATATTTAAGAGAAAATTGTCTAATTGATATAAGATTTGCTAATATTTCATAATGTTTCATGTTAAGTAAAAATCACTTGAGAATTAATTTCAAGGAATAGGAAAAGTAAAATTTTCCTTGAACAAATAACTAATCAAAATTTGTTATTTGTGTTTCTTAATCAAGAACCAAAGTTTGATCTGTTACTTAATTATGAAATTACGATTAAAAATATCATTTTATCTTTATAAAGTCTAATAAGTGGGAATAAGTTATATCTTCTTATTAAATTAAAAAATCGAAAACAAAAAATATCAAAAGAGATTTCATATAAAAGCTCATATGTCACAAAACAAATATGTAATTACACAAGAAAGGAAATGCATACAAAAAACCAAGAAATGAATCTAATTTGATCTATAAGAATAAACATGCTTGTGTGTGGTGATGGATGAACGTGAAGAAGGCAAGAGAATTACATAAAGAAAATGTTGATGCCAATCATGTATACATGTTATGAATGGAAGTGGACAAGGGAATTCCATAAAGAAAATGATGATGAATGCCAAAAGTGAGATTTACTTGCGAATATGAGAAGCCATGTAGAAAAATTAAATGCAGGTCCTCCTTGAATGAATTACCAACTTCACCAGGTGCTTTTGAATTCTGAGCCAAAAGGCTTAGAGAGAAGAATGTGTTTCTCTCACTTGCTTTGCTTCCCACGAAATAAAAAATCAGGAAGATTTCATTAAAAAAAATATACCTTAACACTCGGTCAACCTCAATTTTGGGGGGATGGGAGCATTTACTAACTTAATTTTGCTATTTCAAATATGTGGTATTTACCAAATCAACAATTTATGACCACAAGTTTTCTTCTTCATAAACCGCAAGATGGGGATAACAAAAGATGATTAAAATCAATGATCTTTTATTGGGTACCATTTAATTACCTTTCCTCACATTTTTAATTATTTTATGAAAAAATTACCCATTTTTGTAAAAAAATTTATGATTTTTATTTTATATAATTTTCTTTTATTTTTAGGTATTTCATTTTCTATTATACCAAAAAAGTGTGAAACATTTAATTTATAGATTTCGATTCAAATGAAGTTATTAAATATTTATTTATCAAATATTGTTAGTACAAGTGAAGTAGAAGTATGTATTCTCTATCGTATTGAAAATTTCTAGTATGAGAGAGATACACACAAGGATGTTGAATGGTTAAAAAAATTTATCACTCAATCTCTCTTTATTTGTATCTCTCTACCATCGGAATTTTATAATGCTAAAGATGATACATACTTGTGGAACAAAGTTCGTAATCAAAAGTATTACTTTATCTCTTTAAAGACGATCATATAGGAAAAAGTTATACCTTTTTATTAAATTAAAAAATATTTATTTTACACTAGCTTGGATAAAGAAAATTAAGAGTTAGGAGGTGTTCGGTGAAATTAACTTATAAGGTAGTTGAAAGTTATATGCTAGCTGAAAGTTTATAAGATATAAGTTAGGTATTAAAAAACTAGAAGCTTATAAGTCAACTAATTAAACTGAAAGTTACAACACCAAAAAAAAAACTAATTAAACTGAAAGTGTTTAGCAAAAATAGTTGATTAATGTCATATTTATTTATTTGATGATAAGAATGAAAGAATAACATGTAAAAAAATGATTTCTAAGTTAAAAAGGGTAAAAAATATTTCAAGTAAATTAACAAGAATAAAAAGAAAAGAGAAAGAAAAAGCTAAGAGTTTATATTTAATTAGCTCATGAAAATAAGCTTCTAAAATAAGAACTCACACTAAACAATCTTATTTCAGTCAAACTAGCTTATAAATTGGTTAAAGAAACTTATAAGATTCTCAAATGTTTGATCAAGTACATTCTTTAATGATCATAAATGCATTATCTGTGTAAATTTTTTATATAGTCAATCAATCATAAATCATCATTTGTATTATTTTACAAATTTATCATTCATGTAATTACTTTACACCGTGAATGTAATTATTGAGTAAAAGTGTAAAATTACTTTACATTATGAAATATGACCTATTTTTTTTTAAAAAAACTAAATGGTGTTAAAAACTAGTTTTTTTTAATAATAAGAAATTACATGAGTGATGACAATTTTTTGTTTGTTATTCTTTAAGCTTTGTTTTTTTAGTCACGACATCAACGCATTTTTATCTTTTTATTCTAATTAAATTCTTTCATTTATTTTTATGTGTATAAACATGTAGTCTGGATTTAAATCAAACTCACACGACAACAGTAAAGCCTTAAAGCAAACTAAACTCATACAACCCATAAATTTAACAGACTAATTAACCTACGTAAACATGTTGTCAAATGGATCAAGACTTTACCTTTCTCAACATGTAAACATCAAAACCATCGAGTTCATTATAGTACACAATTTATCTTAAGCCATCTATTGGAAGCGTTGACTAGTTCGGGCTTTTTCTTCCCACACTGGGTTTTTTAACCATGCACCCATCAATTATTAAAATTTTCCAAATTATTCTTATTGCGACGAGTCTTTTTTAGATTATCATTCCAGAAGTTACATTCTAGAACACTCAACTTGAAACACCATGTTCTAGAGCACACAGTTCAGAACACCAAATTCACAATACTATAAAAAAATGTGTTTGGGAGATTATTATAAAAGCCAAAACAATGAGAAACTTATTTCTCTTACCAGGTGTTACATCCTTTATATTTGATATTTCAATGACTTTACTTCACAACACTTCACGCAGTAATATTTCACATAACTTATCTTAGTTAGAAACCTTCACCAGTCAAAGCCCCTTCATGGATAACATTTTTTGAAATGCTCCTCTGCCTTTAGGATCAACGACAGACCCCACAAACTAACATAAGACTTTTCAGCATACTTTATTCTCACTCATACATTTTATGGAAAATTTTTCAAGAGGCCACCCAATCCTAAATCACCTCAAGCTAAGCACACTTAACTGTGGAATTTTTAAGTAACGAGCTACCAAAAAGTAGATGTATTTGTTGATATATGTAGTATCAATTAATTCTTTTAAGTCATCCTCAATTGTATAATCTCACACTTGTACAAATGTGTAGATCCCCCTTATTCTGGTGTGCTTAGGCAGTTATAAGCCCACCAACTTTTGCATGGTTCGTCCTTGAACCACACTATATTATGATAGAGGACCTGCTCTGATACAAATGTAACACGCCTCAAATTTGACGTCTTAGAGGCATCACTCCACAAAACTTCACACAGTGACACTTCACATAATCTCTCGTTGTTCATAATCCTTTACTAGTCAAAACACTTTGTGGGTAACCCTTTCTAACAAGCTTGTTTACCTTTAGGATCAACGACCAGTCTCACAAACCAACACAAGATTTTTTAACGTGCTTTATCCTCACTTGTACACTTTTTTGGGAAACTTCTCAAAAGGTAACTCATCCCTAAACCACTCCAAGCTAAGCATGCTTAACTATGGAGCTCTTAGTGATGAGCTACCGAAAAATATATGTACCTTGTTAGTATAGGTAGTACAAATTAATTTCTTCAAGATATCCTTAATTGTACAATCTCACACTTGTACAAATCTTTATATTTCTTGGTGTGTTTGGATTGTTACATTACAATGAACCCTTTTTAGCAAACAAAAAATATGGAAAATGAATTAATTTTTTTGAAAACAATGATGAATTGTTGTGGAGAAGGGTGTGGCTGAAGGGTTTCAGAGAGAGATTAAGGTGAATGGTTTGAGAGAAGGGTGTGAGAAGGATAGGTGAAGGGGAAGGAAAATGTAATTTAGGCATTTTCAAGAACTGATCAATGTATGGGGTAAAATATATGGTGCAAGAAGTAATTCCCACTAGTTTGTTATAGATTTTTTCCTCTACATATTCTTTCCACCAAGGGTATTTTTTAACCCATGTTAAAAATAGAGAGAGAAATGAATCTGTATTAATTTTGTATTATGAAATTATCACTTACGTAATGAATATACAATGTTTATATTTATACATATGTTGAAAGTAAACTATCTACAAATAAAAACCTAATTGCCTAACAGAATGCATAACAAAATGCCACTTAAGCAAATAATAAACAAGATACAACCATTCTCCAATATCCCCTACAAACTTAAGAGGGATGTTGAATACATGCTTTGAGTTTGGTCTTAAGATCACATAATCGTGATGATGGAAATGGCTTAGTGAAGGAGTTAGCAAGCTGGTTTGCACTAGGAACATGTTGGACTATGAGGGCTTTTGAGGTAACCTTCTCTCAAACAAAATGAATGTCCAATTCGATATGTTTTGTCCTAGTTTACAAAACCGGGTTGTGGGGTAAGGAGACAACACTCAAATTGTCATAATAAAGCAAAAGTGTGGTGAAAACAATGCCAAGTTCAAATTAAATAGATTGAAAGCATAATAATTATACTAATGTATAAGTGATGACACAATATTTTGCCTCAGTGTTAGATCAAACTACTAATGGTTGCTGCTTGGAGCACCATGAAACAAGATTAGGGCCAAAAAATATGCAGTAACCAGAAGTAGAGCACCTATCATCAGGATCACTCACCCAATTAGCATCTGAATATGCATGAAATGGGAAAACATGGGAAACCACTAAGGTAAAAGTGGTAAGGTTGCATTGGGAAGTCTGTTAATGAAGAATATTGCTATGGTAAAACTATAGTCCCAAAACTATGCTCTCCCAAGATTATCTATATATGATTTTTATCACTCAATGTTATTGAATTCTTTAAAGTCATTCTAAATTAATTCCTTGCATTTAAAAATTATAAGGATTTCAATTTAATGAATGATTTCTTAGTTTACCAAATCAGAGTCCTTGCATTAAGAAAAGTGTGACACCCTCTACCCCAACATATATATATATATAAGTATGGGCCGTTCTGGATGGAGAATGAGCTGTTCTGGATGAGTACCAGAACGGACCATTCTGATTTTAGAACGGGTCATTCTGCATGTGGTTTTTGCACATGACGAAGGGGTACAGAACGGGCCGTTCTGGATTCGGAACAAGTCGTTCTGGGCATTCTGAAATTTCTATAAATAGGGGTATGGGCAATGAGGAGAATGAGCGGTTTGAGAGATAAGTTCTAAAAAGAAGGACTCTGGGTTTGTGGACTCCTTTCTCTCTCTAATTTCTCTGTATGATTTTTTTTCTCCTCTAGACCACAATGCCTTCTGTCTTTTCTTGAAATTCATATTAGAAAGCTTGATTTGGATGGATTGAAGTTTCGGGTTGAGCTTCGAAGGGGAATTCTACTTCTGTTCAATTTTTGGCTAATCTGAGCCAATCTTCAGGTGAGAGAAGCTAGAATGTAGGTTGTTTAATTTCAGGAGAGCTAGGGAAGCTTTATGCATGTTGTTCTTTTGTTGAAATAGTTGAGCTGTTGGGTGTTTAAGTTGATTTATGCTGTTTATTGAGAGCTAGGGAAGCTTTATGCATGTTGTTCTTTTGTTGAAATAGTTGAGTTGTTGGGTGTTTAAGTTGATTTATGTTGTTTATGTGTAAGTTGACATGATAGATGAATTTTAAATATGTTGTATATTGCTGAAGTTGTTTATAAAGTTGTTAAGTTGCATTAAATTGATATTGTAATGACTATAGTTGTTTAATTAAGTTGTTTGCATGTTGTTAAAATTATTAAAGTTGCATAGTTGTATGATTGAATAAGAA